GAGAGGTCATTTCCATTTTTCCCCTCGACTAGTACTGCAATGTCATCAGCGTACGCATACTTTTTAGCAGTGATTTCTGTCGCAAGGTCAACGATCTTATCGTAACAGATATTCCCGAGATGTGGGCCCAGGATCGAACCTTGAGGAACGCCAGAGTTCGTTTTAAAATAGAGACCGTTGGCAGAGATAAACCTATCAGACAGATAACCTAGAATTATCCTAATCAGATAAGAAGGAACATTCTTTTCTAGAAGAGATTCGTGGACGTCCCTCCAGATTAGGCTATTAAAAGCATTGCGAATATCCAAGGTGAGCACAACAAAGCAGGGTCTTCTTTTGGGCTCGGTGTTAAGGTTCTTTATTATTTCACTTCTCACTTTGTTGATGGCATCTGAGGTCGAAAAGCCTTTTCGGGAGCCATGCCGGTTCTCTGAGAGTTCTATTTCAGGAGGGAGTCTGGCTACGATGATATGCTCAAATATTTTCCCAAGAATATTCAGCATGTAGATAGGTCTGAACGCTCTATCTGCTCCAGGCTTGGATTTGGTGATCAACGCCAGGCGAGCCGTTTTCCACTCAACAGGAAAGAGACCAGACTTGAGATAGTTGTTATACATTTTCAAACATTCTTTTGCGTTTCCAAGGACGAAAGATTTCGCTATCTCAGGAGGGACGTTATTGATTCCAGGGGACTTTTTGTTCTTGATTTTGGAGACGGCTCTTTTTAGTTCATCCATTGAGATGTCCTGGATATCTCAATGGATGAACTAAAAAACAAGAGGCAAGAGGATGTCCTGGATATCCTCTTGCACGAAAAGAGGCCATTGGCAGTCATCATGTATCGGGAAGAGGTTTTTCACGGCATCAATTACTTTCTGAAGAGGGTCGAATTCTCATGTCCAAGAGGAGACTTTAATCTTCTCTTCCTCGTTTGATAGGCTCTGCCCCAAATGCCATTGTCCAGTTCAGAGATCCAGTCGTTCCAAATTTTTCCCTTGGCAATCTTAATTTCAGCTCGAAGAGTTCTAGTGGTATCCTTAAGCTCTGCAAAAAGTCTATCTAGCTTACACTTGTCTCTGGATCTAGTAAAAGCTCTTCTGATGGATGAGCATTTCTTCTTTAGACATTGAAGGTCTGAGTTCCACCACGGGAGAGGACTTTTCCTTCCGAACTTCTTCTTAATTTGAAAAACTTTATCGCAGGCGCCAGAGATTATCTGTAAACAGGATAGAGCTGTAAGAAGTGTGTTTGCAGGGAGTTTTTTGACTGTCTCCTTGGCAAGTCTGTTAAAATCTTCCATTTTCTCCTTTTTGATCCACCACCCCGATGGGGAGTCATCTCTGGAAAGGGTAGGGGGGCTGCGGTTGAGGCCAGAATTTACGCTGAAAGTAATAGTGTGATGGAAACTGAAATTTTCTGTTGTGTGAACTTTCAAATCGTATATCTGATGTTGAAGCGAGGAGGAAGAGATGACAAGGTCAATGTAGGAGCTTCCCATCGGACCCTCAAAAGTGGGGGTCTTACATTTTGGGTCGTTATGCACCAGTAGATCGTTCTCTTCGATCTACTCTCTGAAGATTCTACCACAGTGATCCTCCTTATGGTCACCCCAGAGCATGGAGCGGCAGTTGAAATCTCCGACTAAGATAACAGGCTTGGTTTGTTGCTTAAGATTGTGATCTAAGCTGTTTAAAATTTCATTAAATTCCGGGATTGAGACAGCAGGGGCAGGATGAAAATAGCAGCCGTGTAAGACAATGTCGCAGTATTCGAATCTAACCAAGCCGTTAAATCTCTGCCAGTCTTTACATGCACCGACGAGGTTTTTTGTCGTGAAAACGGCAACATCGTTATTGACGTCACAGTAGTTTCCATCAAAAACAGATTTATTGATGTTTGGTTCCGGGAGGACAATAATGCCAGCGCCCAAATCAGCAGCCAAGGACTTGGCAGCATCATGAGAGTCAGGAACTCTTCCAGTGTTGCAGAAAAGAACAGAGAAAGAAACGAACTGTTTGTTATCTTGTTTCTTATTCCTCTTCTTCCCAGCCAATATTGGTTCTTCTAAGCTTCTCCTCCATCGCTTGTTGGTAACTCGGACATTTTTTATCTTTGATCGAGTGCGCCAGGTTCGCAATCTTACCACTAGCAATGCAAGCGTCGCAATGTATCCGGTCCTTTGTTGGCACTGGGCAGGCGTCAAAAGGGTGATCAGGGGACGCACAGGAGTGGCATAACTGATTGGGAGCTCTGCAAAGTTTGGCGGGATGTCCGTAACTAAAACATCTGAAACATCTCAAGGGGGCGACGTCATCAAAACACGAGCAACAAGAAAAACCTACGAAGACGTGGCGGACATTCATTAGAGTGTGCCTGATTGTAGGAGAGCATTCGACAATAATTGTTTTCGTGTTAAATTTTTTGTCTGTGTATGTCTGGTACGACTTAACAATCCTGAAGCCGGAATTAAACTTTTCTTCGTTGAAACGCGCGTTTTGCTTAATGAAGTTATTTTTATAGTAGATGTCACGAAGGATCTCGTCATTAGAAAAGTCAGACTCGATATCGTGTATTCTAATTTGCGGGTTTCGAAGTAGAAGTGGTTTGCAGGACAACTTGTCCGTCTTCTTGAGCAATTCTTGAATTTGACTTGATTGTTCTCGATCATTCGCGACTATTTGTGCACCACTCTTTTTGATTTTTAATCTTTTTATTTGAAGGTTTGTGCTCTTAAGGTTGTTTTTGAGCAAAGAGGGAAAATCATCTACATCAGCGTCGCCGTTTGTTTTCACCTCGAGTAGATGTACGTCACTAGGGGGAGAAAAGAGATCTTGGCCAATTTTAACTTTGAGGGCTAGGAAATCTCCGGATTTGGTTTCTTCAAGCCTTTTTTCCAGACGTTTAGATTTTTTGCGCGGGGTTTTGTCACGATCAGCTTTGATGACTTCGGAGAAGCTGGCCTGTGTGATTTTAATCTCATTAACAATGGACTGTAGTTTAGCGCTAGCTAGTTGTGTTTCAATGATAAGGTCACTTTTAATCTCATCTTTAACGTTTTTGAGCTTAAAATCGAGAAGGGCGGATAATTCCTCTAATGAGATGTTCGCAACTCCACTTTTTTCACCTTGTAAAGCAGCAGACAAGTTGTTGAGAAAATCATCCAACAAATTAAAAAAGCACACAATGGCATTCTTGTTAGTTTCAGCAATGTTGTTTGGAGCATGCCGAAAAAGACCAGAGGCTTTTTTTAAGAGGGTAATAGCGTCTTGAATGTTCTTAAGCTTATTGATTGAAACGATCCATTCTGTGATTGCCTTGAGGCCGGATTGTTCTGTTGGGTCAGCATCAATGAAACGGTTTTCAGAGGGATTGCTGGAGACAGCAGACTTTGAGGCAGAAACTGCGGTAGATCCGCGCGACATGGTCGGTGTTTTGCTTGCAGTCAAACTCCAGATCGAAGGGGTTTTAAAGTGCCGTAGAAATTGGTGAGACAGGAAAAAACACCGTGTGAGCGAGTACGCATGAAAGGAATTTTATCAGATAAACGTATTATCTGATTTTTGTCAGGATGTGGCGCGGAGTATAGCTGCCGAGTGTTTTTTGAACGTTTGATAATCAAGCTCCTATCTGCGCGTGCGCGACGGGGAAAAAATTGGTGAGATGCAGCGTAGATCTGGCAAGAAAATTGCGTAACACCACACTGCACCACATTAAAGTCTCTAAACCTATGCACTTAAATAGGTTGACAAAACCCAAAAGAACTGACTTACGACTACGTAGCAGGAAGAAAACTCGTTCCGAGTGGGTCAAAGGTAGACAGTTCACAAAACCAGAACAGAAGAGTCCAATAGGACCGTCAAAGTAAATTAAACTCGGGAGCCGAAATCAACACGTCTATACGTCTAAAGCAGCGTTGCCGGACCTCAATGAGCTGAACGTATGGTAATCAATGCAAATCATGCCCAGCATCACTATTACCAATGTGGCGCTTACTAAATCCCAACGAAACCCCTCTAGAAAGCACTTAAACAATCAGGGCCGATTTTCCATTTAAAGATCCCGCTCTATGAGATCGCCGGATCTCCAGACGCGGCATTCTCATATTACTAACCATGTTGCCGCAGCGTTTTAACCCCTCGACCCGTTTCATTGGACAGTAGACGAATCATGAACAGGGCTGGCAATGTTGTTGATGATTCCGGATACCTGCAACTCCGGAACATTTAAGATAAGCGGCACGCTAATTTGATTCTCTTCTATGGCACATGGTAAAAAGACAGTCCACAACAGTTCGTATGAAATCAGTAAACGCGCCTTGGAGTTATGCAAAACCCATCCCCCGGATGATCCCATTTACAAATTCTAAGAGAGCTCATTAGGCATTACCGTGAGGTATTCAAATTCATTTGTCGATCGAACAGACGTCGATGAATTCTACGGCTTGCAAAAGCCTATTGCAAGATTAAAAGATGCAATTTTCGATCGAAAAAATGTCGAAGAAACCGTGGTTTTTTTTCAATTAGCGTTTCAAACAATGTCGATCGAATATATGTCGATCGAAAATACGTCGATAAAAACTATGACGATGAACAAATTTTCGAAGGAAAGTGTGTCGATGAAAAAAATGTCGATCGATCTGTGTCGATCGAGAAAGTGTCAATCGAATCGATGTCGATTGAACTGCGTCGAGTGAAACGACGTCGATCAAGACGATGTCGGAGGAAGTATGATTTTTTTTTTCAATAATTTTTAATTGATGTTTTCGAGCGAAAAAGTGTCGATCGAGTTTATGTCGATTGAATTGCGTTTCCATTTTTCGATCGACGTGTGTCGACGATTCTTGTACCCACCCGATCGCGCTTGTACCACGAAGCATTGAAGTTATGCAATTATAGTGCATTCGGAGCGCGAGTCGTTCGGTTCGCCGTTAGGTGCGGGAAAGTTAAGTGCCCAAGTGTAAACATGGCAATACATGGTAGAATTAAAAGGAAGAGATTTACCTTTTTTGGGAAAGTGAGGAAATGCCGCCCCTATTTCAACAGATCGAAAGGGGCCCAGGTCCTCTGTGAACAAAAAACAAGTGAGAAGACGTTAGTACATTTATATGTACCATTTGATCGGCTATTATACATTGATTGACTCACTCACTCATGTATCAGCGGATCCCGGGAACGGTAGGTCGCAGGACCCTGGAATGGGCCTGTAGCAAGCATCAGTAAATGTCTTCAAAATCACGATGAGCGCATTGGCAAAGTCTGAAATGCACTCCTAACTTCACAATCTGCGTAAGAAATTTCCTTTCTTCTGAGCTTCCCGCTTCAAGAACGATACTACGGCACAGGTGAACATTTCGTTAGAGGAGTCGTTCCGTTCAACCCTTTCGCAATAGCAATACCCAACATAGCCGACGCTTCCGCACGCAAACCGGAATCGGGAGCACAAGACCAAAACGGGTATTTATCAATACGAAGAAATCGTGAATGTAAGCACGCTGGCTTGTTAACAAATGGTTAGAATCTCGTCAAAGCACATGTGTTTTGGCGGATTGGTGTCAGCCATGTTCAATATTGTGTACTACCCTAGTGCGCAGGGGATGGATAGAACGACGTCTCTGACGAAATGTTCACCTGTGCCGTAGTATCGTTTTTGAAACGGGAATAAGCTAAAAAACACGCGAATTTCTTACGCTGATTGTGAGGTTAGGAGTGCATTTCAAACTTTGTCAATGCACTCATCGTGATTTTTGAGACAATTACTGATAGAAACAACTCTTATTGGCGCGTATACGTAGTACTAGGGGGCTACGCCCCCTGGCCGCTACGCGACCCAACCCCCTGAAGGCGCTCCGCGCCATCAATGGGCCGCTTCGCGGCTCTATTTTGACCCTCCTATCAGTGTTCGTTTTATTTTTCCCCCTAAAAAATTACGATATGAGGTATACTTTACTTTTAGAATGAAACACTTTGTTGGTTTTGATGAAAAAAGGCAAACAAAATTTTTTGAAGTCAAAGGGACGCGTTTTGGAATGACTGCTTGATGATATACTGCAGTAAAACAAAGAACAATGATATTCAAGTGATAATTAAATACATCAGGAGTCGGGGATCGAAGCCACACCGTGTACAAAGTGGACGCTACCGACGTCTTCGACGACTCGGCCGCCGCTCGTCTTGAGGGATCCAGAGCGAATAGAGCTGATGCGCAGGCTACACAGATACAACTGCGCAACCTCCTCGACCACTGCGCATCCTCCCGCGTATAGCGGTAGCAGTCCCGGAGCATTCTGTAAATTCACTCACTTTTGTAACGTGATTTTAAAAAAACCTGGGTCCTATTTCCAAACTCTGGTTAGAGCTGGCTCATCTAGGGCCTGTTACCAGTTGATTTACGCAAAACTCATAGAAATCGGCCCGGTAGAACGCTTAAAACGAACTATGACAAAAAGTATAAATTTACATTGTTTAAATGTCTAGGCAAAGACATTGAATCACGTAGACCGTGCATCCTGTGTTACGGAGGGCGAGGCAACTTTTAAAAATTCGCATGTGATGAGTGGTGGCACCGACCCGCATCGATGAGTTCGTGTGTCCCAGTTGCGCACATCTGCGCATGCGCAGTAGCGGCTCCAGTGAATTTTTGTCGGATTGTGAGGCTTTTTTCCTCGGTTAAAAATTAGTTCGGAAAAATGGAACTATGCTAATCGGGTGTAAAATTATGTGTTCTATAACTTTTCTTCTGGAATTTTGTCTGAAAATGGACTCTATACGAGATATTCGTGAAAAACCGAGCGCGGGCATGAATTCTCCATTGCCTCTTCGAGTGCTTGGGACGCACGCTCTCTCCCCTTCCCCGCCCGCCCATCATGGGGCTCCGAGAGACTTGCCTCGCTCCGCCAGTGCTAAACCGAGCCGAACGCACGGTCTACGTGATTTAATGTCTTGAATTCTATGTCAGCACTAACGGTTCAGATGGCACCTCAGACCAGGAGAGAGGCTGCACGGCTAAATATCGAAGCGCCGTAAAGTTATGCAAAAAATCGCGATCTTCGACGGGGGTTCGCTTCTCTCCCGGTTTTGCGTTTTTCTTGAATCTCAGAAAAATAGAAATAATTAAGAAGAAACGACACTTTATTGAGGACCATTCACCAAGAATATACCAAGAAAAAAACATAAGAAAAGCATAACCTCTCTAGATCTAAAATTTTATCAACAGCTGTTTTTTAGCAAGTATTAAACTTAACATCCTGCCCCCGGCTGATCTATTTGATCAGAACAGGTAATGGACTAAGTTCTGTCACGGCTCGAATAAGTACAGAAGTCGGAGTCTTCACTTTTGCAACCCTAACGTGTCCATCAGTACCAGGATATGTTTTGATGATTCTTCCCAAATTCCAATAAAGTGCAGGTGAATTTCTATTTTTGACAACAACCAAGCTTCCAACTTGAATATGACGATTGCTCGTATGCCATTTGGCACAATACTGCAGACTTTGGAGGTACTCTCTTGACCAGCGACGCCAGAAATGAGACAAGTCCTGCTGGAAGCTTTTGTATGTTTTCAAAACGTTTGATGATTTGAAC